GGGGCAATTAGAGGGGAAGGAGACTAACTGAAGGGGACTCAAGGGAAAATTGGAGCAGATGATTGTAGAGACAGCAAGTACAGACAACTCTTTCAAGTTTGCTGTAAAATGGAGCAAGAAATAAAACAAGTTGGAAGACCATGAGGGGCTGAGAAAAAAGATGCTACATTCTGTTTGCACGTTGACCGGAAAAATCCAGTAGAAAAGATTTTATTTAATGATGATCTAGGAATAGGGGAGGGTACGTATCAGAGGTAAATCTTTGACAGAAGTGAAAAGGGAAAGGACCTAGTCTGCAAAGGTGAAGAAGTTGTCATTAGATAGCAGCAGAGACAGTACCTCTCTTTTTAATACAAAGAAAGAAAAATATGTGGGTGCAGATATACCACATTTGGTGATGGGAATGCATGGAAGTTTTCTGATGGCTTATATTTTCAAGAGTCATATACAAGAAAGAGATGCCTAAGACTTAACAGAACTGTTGCTATGATGCTGGACAGCCAGGACACTAAAGTTTGCCTAACTGAAGTCAGAACGGTGGGGGAGGGGCACAAAACTATGTGACAGTTCATTGTGAAACAATCTGTCCTATTTGGGGCATAAGGAAATAGAATTATAAACAGTATACACCACACACTCAAAAATTCAACAAGCATAAACTCCTCAGGTGCTTTTTAATCCTTTTAAGAGTTCTGGGCGGTTACAGTTATACTTAAATCACACTGACAGACTAGACACCTGTTTTTTTGGTCACATAATTAAGCTGACATCTCAGTATTCTCATTTAGCTTACTTTCTATTTTATGATCTGAAAATTAATCTTACAAGGTCAAAGACTCAAATATAGCTATTGTGGTTTTTACAACTTCATTCCACTGTTTTTCCGATCTCCTCAGAAGAATGCTTGCCAAGGTCAGTTTCCTGATCATTCTCCCTGAATTTGGGTGTGGCCAGACTATACTACTAGTAACATTACATCTACCTAATTAGAGAATCATAAAGTTGACCTTTGAAAATATGCACATGTCACTATCAGAAAGTGTTTTCTCTTCATCTATTTTAAGGGTTACATTTGTTCTCTACACATATAAATGATTGATACATTATTAAAATTTGAGATGACCTACCAAATCTTCAATAGAATGAGAGCTAAGAATCAATCAATGAACATTTGAAAATATTTTCTACAATTGTGGTTAGTCTCAACTGTATTTAATCTCAAGATATCCAATTAAATACAAGTGAATCTTCAATAGAATGAGAGCTAAGAATCAATCACTGAACATTTGAAAATATTTTCTACAATTGTGGTTGGTCTCAACTGTATTTAATCTCAAGATATTCAATTAAATACAATTGCATTTAATCTCAAGATATTCAACTAAATACAATTGCATTTAATCTCAAGATATTCAAGTGTTTATAACACTCATTTAAAGAGACCTAAAACTAAACTGTCTGTGATAATTTCATGTATTGTACAGTTTCTCTTGCACTGGTTCATCTGTCAACATCTCTCCCACAAATTAGAGCCGTCTTATGAAGCATTACTGTGAATACTGGCATCTGCACATTTCTTTTTTTTTTTTTTTTTGAAATCTGCTAAAATTTTATTTTTTTTCAATATATGAAATTTATTGTCCAATTGGTTTCCATACAACACCCAGTGCTCATCCCAAAAGGTGCCCTCCTCAATACCCATCACCCACCCTCCCCTCCCTCCCACCGCCCATCAACCCTCAGTTTGTTCTCAGTTTTTAAGAGTCTCTTATGCTTTGGCTCTCTCCCACTCTAACCTCTTTTTTTTTTTCCTTCCCCTCCTCCATGGGTTTCTGTTAAGTTTCTCAGGATCCACATAAGAGTGAAAACATATGGCATCTGTCTTTCTTTGTATGGCTTATTTCACTTAGCATCACACTCTCCAGTTCCATCCACGTGCATCTGCACATTTCTAAAAGGTTCCCAGGTGTACAGTTCTCCTCCATGTCGGCATAATTCCATGTCCCCAGTATCTTTAGCTACATGTAGTTGTTGTTTAACAAAGCAGTGCATGTTAAAGATGTATTTACCTGTTACAGCGTTTAACAAATTGACTACTGTAATTGCTAATTTGCTTGTGTGTATTCCCCTCTAGATGACCAACTCTGTGGGATCAGGGGCTGTATCCATCTAGTTGATCTCTGTATCCTCAACTTGACATATAGTAAGAGGTCAATAAAGCATATGCTGAATCAGTGAAAGTCCCAAAACTTTGGAGAGTGGTTAGGAAGACCCACAGCAACCCCACTTACCCGTGAGATCCAGAGTTCTGTCCACAAAGACCACTGATGCCCTGCCTGTGGCAGTCTTCCTCCTGTTCTTGGCAGGGGCATAATTAGCCAGATCTGCAGCGATGATCCGACTGAGGGAACCTACGGCAAAACACTCCTCCCGCACCCCGAAATGCTCACACAGAGAACTGAGGCCTGACACCAGGCACCTGATCTGCAGAAACAGCTCAGGGGTCAGGGCCGTGGCATCCACCTCACTCAGGCTTCCTAGCCTCCTCTTGTCCGGTCGGGCGCTGTTAAGGAGATGCACATCCTGGGGGAGCAGTGGAAAAAGGGAAGCAAAGGCTGGAGTCAAGGCAAGGTGGGGAGCCACAGGGGCGAGCAACAACGGGACGTGCAGCACCTCGGCGGTGTAGTTCATATTGCCCATCCACTCACACAGCTTCTCCTCCAGTTGCTCGAACACGGGCTGCTGCCCTTCCAGCTCGGCCGCTGCAGCCGCCGGCACGTGATTAGCGGTGAGGTGGACAGCGTGGTTCACGGCTGTGACCACTACACAGTACTGGAAGTGACTGCGACAGATGATATCCCGTAGGGTCTCCACGGTCCGGCCTTTCAGCAGGCAGCTCAACACAAACACCGCCTTAGGCTGCTTGGCTCCACCACCAACTGCGGTGGGCTCGAACTCCCGCAGGTGACACTCAGGACCTCCCACCGCCTCCAGAAGCCGCGTGGATCCACAGCCCCAGTGCAGGCTCTCGGCGCAGGCGGCGTCCAGGTAGACCAAAGCCCGTTTCACTTTGGCCAGCACCTGCTCCCAGCCTTGCTGGGTAAAGGACAGCACGCCCGGGGCGCTCATGGTTGGGGGCTCGCAGACTCCGGGCGCTCGATTGCAGGAACTTCTTTCAGAACTCACAGCTTCCGGGAATTGGGCTCCTGAAGGCTTTGACAGTCAACACAGTACACGTGGTGCTGCCTCTGACTTGTCCAGTGTCCGCGCACGTTGATGACGTAGCGGAGCGTGATTGGCTGGCGCGGAGAACTTGCGGAAGGACGTTGAAGCTGGGGAGAAGAGGGCAGGGCTGTGTGGCTCCTGGGTGATACGGAAGGGCTGGGCCTCGCTAAACTGTTTTCTTCTCCTCTCCCTCTGGGCTCAGGTTCCCTTACCCTGCGTCTTGAGAAATCTCTGGGATAATAAAAGCGAATCCGAAATTTGGCATTTTCCTTGGATCCTCTACACGTCTCTAAAAGCAGATTTGCTCATCTAAACTCAGAGCCGCCAATAGAAGATGAAAACAACCAAGTGATGTGTAATTTTTGTAGTTAATAGATTGCTGTCACATACATTATAGCGCTCAAGCCTCATAAGAAACCTACTGGTCTCGTTTTCACTTTCTCCATCTTCTTTCCCTCATTTCATTGGCACTAAATCTGGACTTGCTTCAAAAATCCTAGAATCCAGGGGCGCCTGGGTGGCGCAGTCGGTTAAGCGCCCGACTTCAGCCAGGTCGCGATCTCGCGGTCCGTGAGTTCGAGCCCCGCGTCAGGCTCTGGGCAGATGGCTCGGAGCCTGGAGCCTGTTTCCGATTCTGTGTCTCCCTCTCTCTCTGCCCCTCCCCCGTTCATGCTCTGTCTCTCTCTGTCCCAAAAATAAATAAACATTGAAAAAAAAAAAATCCTAGAATCCAGCCCCTTCGGCCCATCCATCCTTGGCGTCACCGGCTTAATCCACCGTCACCACTCAACTGGACACTAGCGATGATCCCCATCATTTCCCAGTTTTACATCTCTTTTCCCTCCAATTCAGTTTTCTTCCTAATGAACTAAGCTGGTCCTACCAAGTCTGGCCCAGTTGCCTATAGGATACAGCCAGACTCCTTGTAATGGCACAAATCCTTCATGATTTCTCAATTTCTCCCCAGCTAATCCCTGCCTAGAACAGTATATGCATGCACAATTAAGTCAATAGATTGAGCCCAGAATGTTTCACAAGCTCAGTTCAATTCAATCACTATTTGTTAAGCACTTACGAGGTATAATCACTGACCTAGGCAACAAAGGCACAATGGTTAATGAAATAAATTCTTTGATCCATGAAGAATTTTCACCTCTGCTAAGTATTTGCCATATCATGACGTAACTTTTAACAATCTTGTTTTCCTACAACATTATACACTTAAAGGCCTGGTATATCCAACACTAGAAAATAACATGTATTTAATAAATGTTGATTAAATGATCAATGTTCAATTCATATCCATATAATAAATGATATAGTTAATGAACTTTTAATGGATATGTACAGTATTTGAGACACTGTGTTAAGCATTGATCATCTAAGTAGAAATAAGGCACAGCCTTGCCTTCAAAAGAATCTGAAATAAAAAGACCCCCACATGTAAAGAAAGCAAATGCAATATAGTTAGAGAAGCAATTTTTTTTTAATGGATAAGAGTTACAAAGGAGGAAAAATAAATTTTGATTGCATTAAGGAAAAAAGGAAGTGGTCAGAAGAAGTTGCATCTGGGGCGCCTGGGTGGCGCAGTCGGTTAAGCATCCGACTTCAGCCAGGTCACGATCTCGCGGTCCGTGAGTTCGAGCCCCGCATCGGGCTCTGGGCTGATGGCTCAGAGCCTGGAGCCTGTTTCCGATTCTGTGTCTCCCTCTCTCTCTGCCCCTCCCCCGTTCATGCTCTGTCTCTCTCTGTCCCAAAAATAAATAAAAAACGATGAAAAAAAAAATTAAAAAAAAAAAAAAAAAAGAAGTTGCATGTAAGACATGAGTTTTCAGTTGTCTTCAAAGGAAACCAGGTGTTCACCGGGTGGTCAGGATGGGGAGGAGCATTCCTTGCAGTCCCAAGCAGAGACTGCATGGACAAAGGTATAGAGACATGAAACCATACAACACATTCTCTGGAAATACACACAGTTTTGTATAGCTGGAGTGTATTGTATGAAGAGAGGCCCGAGCTGAAACAGGAGCTAGGAACTAGAAAAAAGGGACAAGATCAGAGTGAGTCTTACTTTTGATTCTAAATAGTAGCAGCCAATTGAGTACAGTTAAAGTGTTGTTAGGAGTGGATATAATTTGTTCACATCTGGAGTTTTAGGGGGGGAAGAATTCTAAATGGAAAACAGTTTGAGTGATAAGATTTAGGACAGGGAGATTATTTAGAAAACAGTCACAGCAGGTGATGGGTATTGAGGAGGGCACCTGTTGGGATGAGCACTGGGTGTTGTATGGAAAACAATTTGACAATAAATTTCATATTAAAAAAAAAAGAAAAGAAAGCAGTCACAGAAACAACTCTGGGTGAGAACAGGTAAGGATACCAACAAAGCGGCTAGACAGAGTGGGGTATATAAAAAGATGTTACGAAGATTGGGAAAGAGAATGAGATAGAGGGAGGATTCCAGGTTCACACCCAGTTTCCTGGCTGGATGACTGCTAAGTAGTGGTCACTGAGATTCGGAAAACCAGAAGAGAAGCAGATTGGGGAATAAATGCACTGAGTTCAGTCAGGACATGTATTTGTTTGTTTGTTTATTTGTTTAATTGTGACAAAATACATAAAATTTACCATTTAACCATTTTTAAGTACACAGTTCAGTAAATTATTTGCACACTGTTGTAAAGCCAGACTCCAGAACTGTTTTATCTTGCAAAACTGAAGCTTTATGTCCATTAAACAAGAACTCCCCATTGCCCCTTCCCACTGGCAACCACAATTCTACCTTCTATTTCCATAAGTTTACTATTCTAGATATCTTATATAAATGAAATCATACAGTATTTGTCTTTTTGTGACTGGCTTATTTCACTTAGCATAATATCATCAAGGTTCATCTAACATATGAGTCAGAATTTTCTTCCTTTCTAAGGCAGGATTACATTCCATTGTCTATACCATTGTATACTGCATTTTTGGATACTGAAAGTTTGGATTTTTTTGTGTAACGGGAAGCTATTGAAGGGTTTGTGTTACTCGAAATGCAGTTTGGCAATGGAGATGGAGGGAATTAGATTTGGGATATATTTTACAGGAAGAACTAATGGGCCTTGCTAACAGGTTTTCCTTGGTATGAGAGGGATTCGTAAGGGAAGGAGAGGAATCAAGGGTAATTCGTTGAGTTTTGGCTGGAACAACGTTGGATAATGATTACTGATAGAGGGAGTATGGGAGTGGGACAGGAGAGGTTTGGGAGGGCAACTCACAGGTTCTGTTTTTGGCATAAGTTTGACATGCTTACTCAATATCAAGGAAGGCATCAGTGAAACATCAGAGTGAGCTCAAGGACAAGTTGAGACTGCAGAAGCAAAACTGGGAGTCATTGGCTGTCAGTGACATATATCACATAGACAGTATTAAAAGTCATGGGACTGGAGGAAATGACCTTGGGAGACAAGGTAGACAGAAAAGAGAAGAGAATCTACGAAAAATCCATTTCTTGCTCTCAGATATTACGGTGGAGCCAAAAGAATTCCTGCTGAAATTACATGCTTGAAGATAATCAGATTTACTTTATTTCAATGTGATTTGTACTTCTTTGCTCAGCATAATTAGCAATTATTATTCCTCACAAAGTCAAACATATCTCCTTTTGCCTCATTTCTAAGCCCTCCACATGGATGATCAACGTTTGGCTTAAGGGTTTACGAAGCACTTATCTGGTGAAGACAGAAATAAAAAAAAATTGTTCTCATCCTTAAGGAGCGTGCAGTTTACACAACAGTATAGAGCTGAATAGGAGATGACACAATTTTCCAGAAACAAATAGCAATACAAAAATTAGTATTAAAATATGTCAGAATGCAGAGGAAGATGGATAATTGGTGCTTAACTCCCCATTGAAGTACCTATAAAGGAAGTATCTAGAAAGAAACAAACTGCACTCTACATATGTGCAGTGATTCGGGTTGTTCAAAGGACAAAAGGCCTAAACCATAGCATACCACCATCTTGCCTCTAACTTGTCACATGCATTGACATTTGAACCCTCACTTTAGCTTTGTTAGCCTTCCAGGATACAGGTGTAATGTGATATTTTAATATATCAATTTACTGATGAGGAAACTGAAGAACATTGAGATTTAAGGGACGTAACTAAAGTTGGCAGTGAATAACACAGTCAGGCCTAAATGCCATATTCATGCAAAGCACATTAATGAGTACTTGCTATCTACTAGATATTGAGCAAGGCACTTTTATTTGATTTTTACCTCTTGCCGTCATTTTAATCATCATCTATTAAGCAATCCCTTTCAGTACTTCCCAAAGAGAGGTATATTTAAACTGATGCTTAGTTATTTTGGGGTTTTTTTTCCTAAGAACCAACAAACTGCACACACACACACACATACACACACCCATACACAGACACACACAATGATAAGATGGAAAACAAATATAATCAGAACATATAGAGTATTGTAGTTTGAAAAGGTCTTAAGTTTATATCATGTCTTCAAATTACCTATCTTTAAATTTTTTTTTTTAACGTTTATTTATTTTTTTGGGACAGAGAGAGACAGAGCATGAACGGGGGAGGGGCAGAGAGAGAGGGAGACACAGAATCGGAAACAGGCTCCAGGCTCCGAGCCATCGGCCCAGAGCCCGACGCGGGGCTCGAACTCACGGACTGCGAGATCGTGACCTGGCTGAAGTCGGACGCCCAACCGACTGCGCCACCCAGGCGCCCCAAATTACCTATCTTTAAACTCTGCTGGTGAGTAGGGAGATAAAGAAGCTTATCCAGGCAAGGAACTCAGTATAAAAGGAAGGAAGGAAGAGGCCTTTTATGAGTGGTTATTAGTGATTTATGGGCTTCTCTGCTTGTGAAAATCTTTATTTTCAAAGCTTAGCTGAAATGCTACCTCCACTGTAGAGGCAATTCTGATGCCTCAGTTATTATTCATCAACTCTTCAGTTCAGTTTAAGTAGCATCTTGAAAGACAAGCTTATTTTAGGCAGCTGAAAGGAGAAAGACAATCCATGAGAGAAGGCAGTT